TTAAAAGTCAGATATGTATTTGTTTAATGGGTTTACTCTTTTTAGAGAAAAAATAACTTTCATTTACTGTTATCTCTTGAAACCTTTTAAGTATCAAACTTTGTATTCTATTCTTGTTGTGAGGTTTTCCTTTACATAAGCATGAAGTATATAAAGGTGTAAAAAATGTTTTTCTTACCATAGTTTGGACAGCAGACCTTGAGCCAGCAAACACAAGAGAGCACCGTGAGGTTGGACAGACTACAGAGGCCAAACAGAACCCCACAAAAGGCATATGCAGTGCATGTTGTCAGGTTGAATAACCACCTGAACAGAAAGAAAGACAGAAAAGAACATTTATGAGTGACATTTTGCTCAAATAAATTTGTCTGTGCAAGCCAATAAAACATCTTAATCTATATGCTAGTGTGACAGGTCATATATTAATTGGCATTCTGGTTCGGAAACAAGAGACAACGGGCAGACAGTGATGTGTTTTGACTTAAAAGGGGTCTAATTGACAGCTAAGGCTAACATGCCAAAGATCTTTCTAAGATCAGAATAAGATGACAGAGATGGTCATTAAATAAATTGAGGAACAATTAAGTAGATTTCAATTCCTCTGAAATGTAAAAAAAAAAAAAAAAAAACACACCTGTGATGTTGGGTCATCATAGCAAACAGGTCATGATAATGGAACTTTTGGGAACATTCTTTGAAGAGACACTTTTAGTACCTAGCACTTGACTTTATGATTGCCAGTGAATCACAATGATAAATGTTTCATTATGATAATTTTATAAGATCTTTCTCTGAAAATATAAGCACACTGTCCTTTTTGTCTAAGGTCTTTCCCTTTTACAGTATACCTATATTTATAGTTATTATGCTTATTGTTCTTCTTGTAATCTTGATGATAATAATAATGATAATAATAATAATAATATTAATAATATTTTAATTTGTTAGAATTATAGTCTGCTGGAGGAAATATAATGCAGTACGGTGTTGAGCAGTAGGGAGATGGTTACTTTTTACTTTGCAACTGGAGACACACTGTTTCTCAATTCTATTACCAGGGCTTTTTTTAATTTTTTTTTTATCATTTTGGTACCTATTTTTCAAAGAAAAAAAACAAACAATAATAATGAAAAGAAATATACAGAATGGATCAATGGTTTTATTAGTTTTTTTTTTTTTTTACTAATGTTAATTTTCAATTAAGATGAAAGTAATAGTAAAGAATAGGGTTAATTGAGTTCACCTAAAGTTTGAATGCATGCTAAATAGCTGTTACCTAGTGAGTAACCGTACAGTTCAGTGTATGAACATGACAAAATATCAACAATATGTTAATTAAAAAACAGTTTTTTCTACATCAAAAAGAATAACATTTCTTCAGGAGAAAAAAACTCAAATATTCAAGGTTTTTCCACAGTTTATAAAGCCAGGATGTTTCTGTTAACATAAATACATTGTAGTTAAGTGTCTTGGCTCACTTATCCCACCACACACTTCAAAATAGTGGGAATTAGTTTATGATTTCAGAAATCTAGTGCTTCTTATTAATCATTTAATTGATCATTTAATCGCAATGCAAAGGTAAACAAAACCTCAGATTTTTGTTTCAACTTCATTTGGAAGTGAAGCAGCAATCAAATGTCACCAAGTTCATCAAAATTGTGCCATTCGCCTCCATAAATTTGCAACCTTTTCCCTCTACATAGAGATAACATGGGAATCATTTGCATTAGCTACCAAATTCACATTTGGTGTGAATGCCCCTTTACAGTAAGCCCAAAACCTTCTGCTTTACCCTTACATTTCTCATGCATATTTTTTTTCCACATTGATAGTGATTTCTACCAAGATTGTGTACAATGAGCTCCTTGGCTTCAACACAAAATGTTGTAAAATGAGTTGTAAACAATAAATTGGTGAATTTGTGTTTGACTACTTTGTGGCTAAATGACTTGGTTGCCTAACACAAAGATGCTACATTTTTAAACTGAATGTGAATAAAAGGTAAAAGGGAGCAAAATGTATTTTCAATACAGCAAAATACATTTTCAAAGCAAAAACATTTCATCTTAAGTTATTTGATACTGTTTCAATTTCCTGTGTTGCAAATTAAAAATTACTCTAATAATACAAATTCATTCTGAGCAGTTCAAATGTTAAGTTAGTTAACAATTTTTTAATATATAAAAACATTTGGCAAAATCTGTAAAAATATCCAAAATGAAATCTGCAGTTATTCTCCTTGACAGAAGCACGGGGTCAGGAAGATGTCAGTTTTATTTTGAAGAGGTAGGAGCAGTCCATTGAAAACAGCCAATTAAGCCTTGTGATAGTGCCAAAAGCTAGAATCAATTTATCTGTGACTAAAATAATGTGGAAAAAGATCTGCATACAAGATGAGCTGAGAAACTTAACAAATAGGGCAAAGAAAAGTCATATCTGTCATGATCTGCCCTGATAGTTGACCTTAATTGTTCACTTCATTTACCTGCTTAACTCTGCTCGGTTCTTAATCATCATTCATCTTATTCACCTGCGTCTCTTACTTTATATTCGGCTCAGCCCAGCTATCGGGGACAGTAGTTGTTGTAAACTTGCTTCAAGCTTGCATGGGTTTTTGGATATTTACAGAGTTCATGTTCCAGTCCCAATAGGCCAGTGGGTTAAAAAGGGTTTTAGTTTTTTCTCCGGATCTTGTCCTGGCTTCTAGGTGGAGACCAGTTTAAAGTTCTGCAGATTTCCTGGTACCATGTCTTGTCTCTGTCCCGCAACCACTGAGCCTGCCTGTCTGCATCTTTGCATGTTTACCTGAGATCGCTGCTGGACTCATGGAACTCTGAAATTGCCTTCTCTCTCTGTGGATTCCTGGAACCCTGGATCTGTCTTTTCCTGTGGAACTCCTGTCCAGGCTGCAGACTCTTGGACTCCGGAACTGTTCCTGTCTGATCTGAATCCCTACCTGGATCGGATTCCTGCCTGCTCACTGAGGTTGCTGCATCTAGGACACTCTGGGCAGCCCTGCACCGCAGCTTGTTTGCGATACCATCAGCTGGATCCTGCCTTCTTCAGATAAATTTTCAACACCTCACTGGTGAAATATAAAGTACCAACCTGCTTCAAATCCTCAACTATTATCCCTGTTCCAAACAAGCCAAGGTCCAGAGGATTTAATGACTTTAGACCAGTCGCCTTTGCCTCTGGGGTTATGAAGTCCTTTGAGTGCTTTGTACTTTAACACCACTGACTCCCCCAGGACCCCCTACAGTTTGCCTACAGAGCCAACAGGTCTGCAGGTGTCCCTGTCAACTTTGCCCTTCACTACGTACATTCTCCAACAGCTGGACACCACAGGACCCCCTGGACTCCACAGGTAACTACGCCAGGATCCTGTTTGTGGATTTCACCTCTGTCTTCAATAAAATCATCCCAGCTCTGCTTCAGGAGAAGCTCTCCAAGCTGAATGTGCCTGACTCCTCCTGCAGTTTGATTACAGACTTCCTGTCTGGCAGGAAGCAGCACGTTAAACTGGGAAAACATGTCTCCGACTAACAGATCATCAACTATGGTACCCCCCAGGGCTGTGTTCTTTATCTTCTGCTCTTCTCCTTGTACACCAGCAGCTGCACCTCTAGTTATCAGTTTGTCAAGCTTCTGAGGTTCGCAGATGACACCACTCTCATCCGACTTATCTCTGATGGTGACGAGTCAACCGACAGGTGGTAGGTTGACTCAGTGGAGTTTGTTGTGGACTTCAGGAAGAACTCAGCCCCAGCTATCCCCATCACCCTCTGTGATTCCACAATTTACACTGTGGAGTTTTTTTGCTTCATGGGAACTATCATCTCACAGGACCTTAACTGAACCTCAAATCCCTCACAAAGAAAGCCCAGCAGAGGTTGAAAAATTTCCACCTGCCAAGGAAAATGATGGTGCAGTTCTACTCCTCCCTCATTGAGTCCATCCTCACCTCTTCCATCATCATCTGGTAGGCTGATGCCACCGCCAAGGACAAGGGCAGACTGCGGTCATCCAGTCTGCAGAGAAGGTGAATGGCTGCAATCTTCTATCTCTCCAGGATCTGTACGCCTCCAGGACTCTGAGGCATGCATGGAAGATTGTGGCTGATCCCTCACACCCCAGCCACAAACCATCAGGACCAAAACCTCTGGCCACAAGAACAGTTTCTTCCCATCCGCTACCAGCCTTATCAACAAGGCCCAGACAGCCCCATGGCACTGACACTGCCTCTCCTGCACCCCCGTTTAAGACCTACAAGCTACACCATTGTAGCATCTCCAGACCAACTGTGTTACATTAACGCACAGTCTAGTGTGTATATAGTATATAGCTATTTTAGATATATATTGTATCTTGTATATTGTATGTTTTATATTTTCTAATGCTTCAGATTTTGTATTCTGTATATATATTGAATTTGTTTGCANTTAAACTGGGAAAACATGTCTCCGACTAACAGATCATCAACTATGGTACCCCCCAGGGCTGTGTTCTTTATCTTCTGCTCTTCTCCTTGTACACCAGCAGCTGCACCTCTAGTTATCAGTTTGTCAAGCTTCTGAGGTTCGCAGATGACACCACTCTCATCCGACTTATCTCTGATGGTGACGAGTCAACCGACAGGTGGTAGGTTGACTCAGTGGAGTTTGTTGTGGACTTCAGGAAGAACTCAGCCCCAGCTATCCCCATCACCCTCTGTGATTCCACAATTTACACTGTGGAGTTTTTTTGCTTCATGGGAACTATCATCTCACAGGACCTTAACTGAACCTCAAATCCCTCACAAAGAAAGCCCAGCAGAGGTGGAAAAATTTCCACCTGCCAAGGAAAATGATGGTGCAGTTCTACTCCTCCCTCATTGAGTCCATCCTCACCTCTTCCATCATCATCTGGTAGGCTGATGCCAACGCCAAGGACAAGGGCAGACTGCGGTCATCCAGTCTGCAGAGAAGGTGAATGGCTGCAATCTTCTATCTCTCCAGGATCTGTACGCCTCCAGGACTCTGAGGCATGCATGGAAGATTGTGGCTGATCCCTCACACCCCAGCCACAAACCATCAGGACCAAAACCTCTGGCCACAAGAACAGTTTCTTCCCATCCGCTACCAGCCTTATCAACAAGGCCCAGACAGCCCCATGGCACTGACACTGCCTCTCCTGCACCCCCGTTTAAGACCTACAAGCTACACCATTGTAGCATCTCCAGACCAACTGTGTTACATTAACGCACAGTCTAGTGTGTATATAGTATATAGCTATTTTAGATATATATTGTATCTTGTATATTGTATGTTTTATATTTTCTAATGCTTCAGATTTTGTATTCTGTATATATATTGAATTTGTTTGCACCAATAAATCCAAATCATATTCCTACTTGGCGATATATCTGATTCTAAAAAATGGATATGATATGATTGCTTGTCTGCAGCTTCTGCAAAGCTCTGCTGCTCGCTTACTATCCCAGACTAGTGGACACGTAGTGCCCCTCCCCCACCACCACTTGCTCCTTGTGCACTGCAGAACTAATTTTAAGCTTCTATTTGTTTTTCAATGTTACAACAAACTTGCTTGACCACTTTTTTCCTAGCTGCGTCATTGCAACTGCTCACTCTGATCTCTTAGATAAGCTGATTGACTGATGCTGACAAAACTAAAACTAGGCTGAAGCTCAGAGCTTCCAGAGCATTTGCTCTAAATTATGGAACAATTTAACGTTAAGTGTCTTAAAGGCCTCCTCTTCTCCTGATTTTAATCCTTGGCTTTTGACACACGGTGATTTTGTTTTGTATGGCATTTTAAAATATGCCCACTGTGAACCTGGCTTTTATATCTATTTTTAAAATATTTTCACCCATCCTTCTTGCAAAGTACAGCACTTTCCCCCAATGCGTTTTTAAAAAGCGCTATAGAAATTGGTTGACTGATGATATTAAAGAACAAATACTCCAAAAGGTTATTCTGTCTTTGACCATATTTTTTATATATGGGCTGGGGCAGTTTCTAAAAAGAAAAAAAAAAATCAGATAAACACCCCAAGATGAAAATTGAAAAGCAGAAATCTTAAGCTGTCTTTGAATTTTGTTTTGAAATTTAAGTGATTCATGCATGATTTAAAGCAGATTTAAAAATCAAGCTCCATACTAGACATTAAGGCTTTTTTAGTAAATTTTTATTTTTCATTTTTAATTCTTAATATAAACTTGGAAAGCTTTAAGATAAGACAGTTTTGCTTGGTCTCAACAAAAAATACACTTTATTAGCCAAAATTAAGTATAGACTTCACAAAGACTTGAATAACTGAGTGGTCCATGTACCTCGATGCTGAACTCAGGTGGGTTGCTTAGAGAAAACTCCAAACTCCCTTCCAATAGGAGAAGCTATGTAGTCTTAAAAAAATGTTCTAACCTCAGACGAGACAAATATAGGGTAAACTGAATTCACTGACAAGGAGAATATAATGAGAAACCAAGGTAAGGCTTTTAAATATGAATAAACTGACAGGCATGTTGATGGAAGCAATATACTTAGAGTCAATTTGACTCCCAGTGGTACCGTTACATTCCACAGAGTAGGTAGAATAATGGAAAATGGGTTCTGCTGCCAAATTTTTAACTTAATTTCAGATCAACAGCAGGTCCATTGAAATGTGTATATGACACCTTGATTTCTCAGTAAGATTAAGATCCAAAATAAAGGTTTAAAAAATGGTAGGATATGCTAGAATATAGCTTCTGGAATGGGCTGCCCAGTGTTTAGAAATCAATCCTATTAGACATGGGTGTGCTATGTTTAAAGGCATATATAATACCGGTAATAATAAAACAAACATGTCTTGAAAAATATTGTCCAATTCGGATAATAAAACTCACATGTGAGCATAGGCTGAAGGAATGGCCAGTGGAAAAAGAGTTGTAGTCATGCTTAAATCACTGATTGCCAGATTTACGACAAAGAACTCTGCTGGCTTTAGGGAGGACTTCTTTCTATAGGCCACAAACAGCAGGATCCCATTCCCCAGAATGGACAATATACCTGGAAAACAGAGAGGTAAAATAGCAAGTAGGAGCCACCTGACATAAAATAATCAAGCATGCAACATTTAATTGACCTACCAAAAATCGTGTAGAGTGTTCCCATGATGAAGTCATTGTCTTTCGATATTCTGGACACGAACAGAAATATTTCAGAGGCATTTCCCATCTTAAGTGAAAGAAAAAGAGTACAGGAAATTAGAGTATATAAAATCTATTGCAATATGAATCTGCCAATTTTGTCAGCAACAACCCAAACAATCCTCAAATCCAAACAATCCAATTTGGAATTTTACATCAGATAGGTAATGTATGGGAAAAAAAAGGAAACAGGAAGGGCAAAGCCAAAAACCAAAAATATTGTATTCTGTCAGTATTTACAAAGGATCCCTGATGTGCAAACCAGTGTCAGCTGATTTAACAGTTACTGATGACCATCTAAAATAATTATTTCCACCAAGGTACTGGGAGAAAAAAAATGTTTAAAGAGCCAAAGAGACCTTAACAAAACTGTCTTACTATAGCAAAACATACTTATTTTACCATTGACAATCCACAACAAGCCACAATGCATTTAGCGACAATGCATGGGTTACATTATATCATGAAGGAGTGCTAGCATTATTACCGAAAAAAAAAACTTTTCTGGAAAACAGACATAATCTTTTCATTCTGTTCAACATAATTGACTCATTCTAACCCTCCCTTTGTCTCGTGTTTGGAAAAAGTTGAGACTTGCTATAACTTTTTTAATATTTAATTGAAGAGGTGTCCATCACAACGGCTCTAATCACACCTCCTAACGCTGATCCTTTGGTTGCAGCTCTTTGATCTGTGTTTTTAGATGGTTTGAGCCTGCAATTCACTCTTTTCTAAAGGTTGTGTCAACAGATCAGAAACCTCCAGGTTCTACATTGGATTCTCTCCATTCATGATTCTTTAAGGATTTTTTTTCTTGTATTTTATGAATTGTTTTTACCATTGTTAAATTTCATCCTCAGTTCTGGTTCGGTCCTTACTAAACGTAAACAGTATTTACACTTCTAATGAAGAAACCAGGACTAAATCACTCTATATGTTATCCTATTATAGCCCTATTTCTAAGCAACCAATTGTTTCGAAAGTAAAAGTCTTGGAAAAAGTTTTCTCTCAGCTAAAACATCTGGATGAAACTGACCTCCTTTAAACAATTAAGTCTGGGTTTAAGGTACAGACTCATTATTACTATGAGACTTGCTTACTATGATACTCTCCTTGCATGTGATTCTGGTCACTATACCTATTTGGTTCTGCTTGATCTAACAAATATTTTTGACACTGTTGACCATCATATCTTGATAGCAAATCTAAATCAATTAGTCGGTATCCAGCATGCTGTTCACGACTGGAAGAGATGGTATCTGACTAAATGACCTTTCTGCATCGAAATTTGTAACGCTGAATTGTCTGGTGCTTCGTTATCCTACAGGGTCCCACAAGTCTCAGTTTTATGGTCCCTGGTCTTTGTATGCATTTGCTGCCATTCAGTTCCATACTAATAACACATGGGATCAATTTCAAATCAATTTGCCCCACCAACTTGGGTTTTAAGCAGTACAGTGACCCAAGGTAGAGCTACAGAGTTGGATTTACTTGTGACAAACCTTTAGCCTGGAAACTACATTACTAATCTATGGCTATCATTCTCTGCTGATCTTAGTGACAAAGGAAAGCCTTCTAAGCAGATGGCTGATTGATCATCTTGGTTACTCATCAGTGTCATTCCTTTCCATCTCCATTCTGGGGTCTCTGTATGAACAGCACACTTCTACCTGCAGAAGTCTCAGCTTTACACCAGCTTCTCGATGCAATAAGTTATAATACACAATTGTTTTTTTGTTTTGTATTTTACTTGGGAAAATATATCCTCACACAACTATAGAATGTATAACTCATATGCACAAAATATCTTAATTTCTTGCCTTTTGTGCTTTGTGAAAATAACTTAGGGGCTTGGGATAACTCATCATCCCCTTTCATTATTGATCAAAATGACACTTTTGTCTTCTTTGACACTTATCTGCATGAATGTTAAAGGGATTTTCTAGAGAAAGGTTCATTTATGCAATTTTTACATCTGCAATTCAATTACTATGAGTATAATCATTTAAATGTGAAAATAACCCAGATTTCAAGTGCCTGAATACTTTGTTGAAATAAAGGCAGTGAGATTAATCAGAGCTCACTGGTCTGGATAAGCGTTTTAACCTGTTAGCAGGTGTTTATCGCTGGTATTATTGAAAGTTAAATGTGGAGAAGATGCGTTAGTTTCTGGGATTTCAATACTTCGTACTTTTTCAAAATTTTAATCCAACATCTGTAAAAAAAAAAGCATTTCACTTCTAAGGTTATTAGGGGTGAAGAGGTTTTTTTTATTTTTTTTATTTGTCATGAGCTGTCTCATTCACTTCAAGATCAAGCGTTCACATTCATAGAGATCAGTAAGAGTTATGAAGAACACAAGATAAGAATAATAAACAATTATCTAACAGCATGTATTTCTCCTATCAGTGAATGTCAGTGTTTCATATATTACGAAGCAAAACCTTTTTTTTCCAAAGTGCTTTCAGGACAACACCTTCAGCCTTGAGTTTGTTTTTTGTTTTTTTCAAATAAAACAAAACAAATATTAAATTAAAGAATATTTATGCAGCAAAATTATCAGCAATATTGCTGTTCAAACCTCTGCTGAGGATTTTCTACACAGAGCTTGCATTCATAGGTTTTTCCTATTGCAAGCACTGCAGTTTCCTCCTGCTGTCCAGAAATGCATATGGGTTTAATCGCTCATATGAAGAGCATATATTTTCTTATGCAAAAAGACTTAAAGAATCTCAACAAGCTGACAAAAAAGACTAGATCTAAACACCTCTAGAACCTCTTGAAACAATTTTACAAAGAAGGGTTCTTCATAATATGATGAAGATTATGTACAAAGGTGTTTTCAGTTTGTTCTCTAGATCTGGTGCAAGAACGCTACAGGGGATCCTTCCTGTCTACAGCTATTAACATCTGCAACAACTCTGAAAGGAAAAAATACTGCAACACATAGTTTCCTTTGGATTAAATAAGATATGTTTGAACTGAATTGAACTGAATGACTACTCAACCTTCTAATTTAGGCTGTTCAGGGTGTAGCTTTCCTCTTGATGCAAGCAGGAAATCGCTTAAAACTGCCATTTTTGATTTAAGACATTATTAAATGGGACATGGCTAAAATATAAAGTGACATTTTTGTATTTTAATTTTGACTTTTATTGACTGCACTACTTTTATTCTCAATCCATAGCTATGAAGCCTTTTCCACTACAATTTTGTTGATTTATAGCTAAAGGTTAACGGACTAAACACTAAACAGACTAAATCACAGATTAAATACTTTATCTGTGATCTTGCCTGCTTGTTGACCACATGCCCTCAGTTCATCTCTCCCTTCACAGTCAGTTCTACAAAGGGAATACTCGGATTAACAGTGAGAGAGGGTAAAGTCTAGAGAGAGAGACACTCTTAAAAAGAGTGAGGTAGAGCAGTAAGGCAGGATAAGAGATAATTCATGTAATTCATGGGTTCAAAGGGTAAAGATTCCACAAAGAGAAGTTGAAAGTCATAAAATGCCTGTCAGCCCAGTGCTGAATAGTAGGATTGTAACTAATCATTTTAGAGGACATCAGTGACAACTTAAGCCCTGCTGTCATTTGAATGGATCTTTGGGCAAGGGGGAATATTGCCAGTCAGGAGTTAAGGGAATTGGGGATGTTGTAAAAAGTATTTGAGTCTGTAACAAATAGAGGATTTGTGAGGGACAAGAAAAAATTCATAACTGAAACTGTCAAAAGCAAAGAATTGAAGGCAGAATGATAGAGATTAGCCACAAGGAAAATGGGACAAAGGAACAATAAAGTAGAACTGAAAACATTCTAACCAGTGCACACGGATCAGTGAATACCCTAAAGATAGTTAGGCTACTGTTAAAACAAGAATCATTGGTGAGTTTTCCAGTAAATATATATTTGAGAAAAGAGCAGTATTTGAAGAGTTCTTCCCCATTAATCTTCGTCCTCTCTTTCAATTCCCAGATTCTCAGTTTGAAAACAGTTAAGATTACCTAAAAAGGCTAAGCTCTAAAGATTTACTTCACAGTTCAGTTTTCTGAAGTAGGGTTTCAGTCAACAACTGTAAGCTTTTTAAAATAGTTTTACAGCTGATTATCTTAGGATCATTCATTAATTAAAAAAAAAGTTGTTAAGTCTCATTATTACTTTTTCTCAAGCAAATATATATCATTTTTGAATTATGTTGATCTTCAATGTTTCTGTAAAAAATAGCATTTATAATTCTTTAGTGTAGTTTATTGTGAACCTGCTTCAAGCAGCATGCAACAAAATCACTTTGTAGTGCCAACTCCACAGATAAGTTCTTACCCTGTAGAAAACACTGTAATGTATGATAAAACTGTTGGTAATTAGATTCTTTTCTCAGATTCAACAAATTATATTTCATCATCTAATGCGATTTTTACCAGAAACGTTTTTTCTACAGTTTTTTACATTTTAATCAGTGAATTACTATTTTATAATTATCAGGCAAGATGCACAATTTGCGGGTTATAGATAAATATACTCAGTTTACATGAAAGAAAAAAATTAAGTTACATTAATTACCTTCTATAGAAAGGAGGAATTCCCTCTGGGACCCGACTTAAGGCATCTTCAGCCCTATATTTTTCTCTAACTCATTTAAAACCCCTTTAAAATAATTTAGATCAGTTCTGCAGTCTGCAGACAGACTGAATGACACCTGCTATACATGAGGTGCTAGAGGGCAATAAGGAAACGTCCCAGCACTATTAATATGGCATGAAGGATGTAGAGCAGAGCTCTGAGCCATTGGCATCTTTAAATGTTTGGGAGGACAATATTCTGTTGCTATCAATTAGAGAACATCAGAAAGGGTTTTAATATGGGTAACGTCTGTTCTTTTTTTGATCCGCACAACATTATTATAAACTACTTCAGGCTTGCTTTAATTGATCAGTATGTTGCAGAAACGTATTTTTTATTAAGAAATTTGATCTGCATCCTCGAGGTATTATGCAATCTAAGTTTGCTATCTAATTCCTATATAAAATTTAGAACAACAATAAATCTCCCTGCTGCTTCTTGTAAAATACACAGTCTGGTAAGTAATCAGTGCAGATTAAATGCTAATGAATCCCCAAAAGAATTGCTGGAAAAATGAAAAAAAAAAAAAAAAGTTGTTTCTTTGTATTCTCCTCCACCAGAAACTGCCTAAACTGTTAAGAGCTCCATCAACCATGTGACGGGTGTTGGCTAGTTGAAAGAGTGTCATAATCGTCTATGAACGCAGCTGGCATATATGCCAACTTTTTCACTACTTCTGCTTGAGAGATTTTTCAGCAGAACTGATAACTATGTAGCTAAAAGAAAGATTGATCATAAAAAGTGAGTTACAGTTAATTTGCTAAATATTTCCAAACCTTATCATTGTGAACTGTCATTTGATTCTAAATACATCTTTTTCCAATGATTACGCACATCCCTTAGTAACTTAACAAGCAACTTTGTTATACTCCTTAAGCGCTGTCTTAAATAGAAAATGAATCTAAGTTAATCTCTTGAAAGGATCGTTGACATGTTATACTGGCCTATAAAGGTCCTGATCTTTGGCTGGGTGTTAAAGAGATCATCATATATTGTGGATTAATTCCAGTGTTAATTTAAAATGTTAATTGATATGCTTTTGTTCCAGTAACTTTGGTGAGCAGTTTTCCTGTCAGACAGGTGTTGGGGTTTATTTGGATGTTTGCAAGTAATAAATTTGAATATGTGGCTGAGTTCTATTTCCTTTCATGAAGTGCTGTGGCTCAGTAGTGTTGCTTTCTCCCTCAAGTGGAGAAGTTAATTGGAGAATGGGAGGAGTGATGGGGAAATTGAGTGGGTGATCGGCAGATGCATCAGTGCGGCTGCCCCAGTTACAGTACAGTATGTGGATGGTGAACCAGGCTGTTAAGGTGAAGAGAGAGCTGAAAACCAAAGGCAAACATCTTGATGCAAAGGTCGTTCTACATTCCTACTCTAATCTAAGATCATAAAATCTAGATCATGACCGAAGGAATGAGATCCCAGGTAAAAGCAGCTGAAATTAGCTTTCTAGGCTGAGTGGCTTCATGAAAACACACCTCTGAATCTCACAGGTGTGCAGTAAGTGAAAACAAATACAGACAACTAATAAAGACATTACCTTCTTAAACTAATCAAACAGAACCTTAGTTTAAGAAAAAATGTTTGAAATTTTACTAGTATATTAGTTACTAATATAATCGTATATATATTTAAATCAAAATTCTGAGAATTTTTTATGACTTTTGTTTTTATATCCCTAAGCAATTTGAAATGTGAGTTTCTATTATTTTTTTATGAAAATGCTAAAGTATAGCATTCAAGTATATTAATTTTAGTAAAAAAAAATTTCATTCTTTGGTGCAATTTCCACAGATTTAGGTTTTTTTTGAGTCATGAAAAGATTGTGGATCATCTTAAGGTCATGGAGCTCCTCTATTCCAAGCCTGTCCTTTCCAATAAAAACTGGATTTGTCAATAAGTAGGACAGGATTATTCCATATTCCAGAGGTCATGTTCTGACATCAGCATAGATCAGTCATCCTTCAACCTCCTCATGGGAAGACAGAATGAGATCAGTGGACAGACAGCTCTTCATCCAGAAAAGGAAGAAGGACATGAGTTACTCCTGCAGGGAACTACATTGGATATGCTCCGGAGGGTTTAACTAGTGTGAAGAGTCATGGGTGTCACTGTCAATACATAGCATGAATAACCTTAAAAGAAATTGCATAAAAATGCCTCTAAAGTTAATTTTAAAAATTAAGAGAACATCATAGCCATAGAACTTTGTAACCATATATAGCTTAGTATAAAGCACAATAATTTTAGTAGCTTATAACAACTGATCCTAGAATTTTATAGCCTGATTACCACATTTGTAGATGTGCATTACCCAAAAAATGTTAATGATGAAATTTTGGCAATTTAACAAATTTGAGATTAAATTTTTTTATTTTTGCTTACTTGTTGGACTTTTTGAGTAGTATTGACTTTTAGGTTAACCAGGCATTGGAATGATTGCTGATGTTAAGGTCTGAGAATGAAGAGGTATGAAGTTTACTTTTTTATACCTTTTTTAGACATAAGCACTAAAGATTTTATCATGTTAAGATGGATGTCCTTATTTAAGGCAAGGAAACAGTAAAAATCATACAGCAATTACGATGACAAAATATACAAAGAAGAAAAAAAAAACATCACAGAGACATAAATGAATGAATACATAGACCTCAACAGTGGTAGAAGAAAAAAAGAAAGCAAAAACAAAGTCTATTCAAACACTCAAATGGGAAATATGCATACAAAAAAAGATTGTCATGTTTGCAACGCTAAGCAAATTCTTAAAATAGCCCCTCACTTCCGTATCAAATTCTCTTTACATTTAGTATCCAAGGCCTGAAGCATCATCCCACAGTAGCTTAGACACATCTTAAGGAAGGATAAATTCTTACTCCTTTTTATTTAACTATTCCAATATTCCTCAGATACTGCTGCCCTCTGAATGAACCTACCATTTATCGAGTTAGTCATCATATTAATAGTACAAGCAGTACTGATACCAGAAGGAATTGTTTAGATTATTGTGTAAATGTAAAGCTACCAGGCCAGCAGGTAGACTTCCACCACCTTTGATGCCAATAGGTGATATATATTCACAAGCCAACACACAACCTGCTAACACAGATAGTGAGTCAGTCAATAGCATGGTAACAAATAAGTGTGTATGCAAAGCAACATAGTGAGAAAGACTTGCTGAAGTTCACTTTAGGCTCGATTTGAGCTTCAGCACATAAGGATTCCAAAACTGGTCAGGTTTATGGTACAAGGTGGACTGGTCTCATCCAGCCTTAGTGACCTAAAAGGGATTTTCTCACAGATATCTCTTGGATTTATGGAGAATGGTCTGAAGAAAGAAACAAACAAAAAAGAAAAATAGAATGGCAGATGTGTGGTCAACTATGGCTTGATGATATCAGAGAGAGAAAGACTGGACAGACTTGCCAGCGTGGAGTCAATGTTTTCTGGTTTGCAAGTGTGTTAGTGTTCTACAGAGATGGCAAAAGTACTCACTTTCCGTACTTGAGTAAAAGTACAGATACTTGTGTTAAAAAATACTCTGGTAAAAGTGGAAGTACTGATT